ACTAACTGGGATTTAGCTGGAACTCCCCTCCTGTCAAGTAGCAACTATGTGGCTCAATTATCAATTCTAGAAACGGAGTTTTCTTCCAAGATTGCAGATTAAGATGAAATTTTACTGTACCAGAAGAAGAGCACAAACATTTGCCCCTACTCTCATGTCTGCTTAACTGTTGCACCAAATCAAGGCCTGAGGCATTTTGAAGGAAAGGTTAGATCTGCTCTGTTTTGCCATTAGGGAATTGCTCCTCCTACTGAAATTTGTCTGTATAATCTGAATCATCCTGGTTATTTCCACCATGGCTTCTCAACATGAAGTAGCAAGAATGGAGCCAGAGACTTGAGACTAGGAGAATGTCAGTATATTCAGTTCTTGGGTGTAGAGAGAAGTGCATCACGGCTAGGCTAGGAGAGGGAGTAAGATGTAACACATAATTACTTGACCTCTTTCCCTCAGCTTTGAATCCTAAGGACAAACGTGGTTATTCGTCAAATTTTCACACACAATGCAAACTTGTGACAGTGACTGATAACCCATTTCTTACTGCTTTTTAAAAAACTAAAAGACTATCTATCTAGCTTTATCACTTTAATGAGACATCAAGATTCACTCCTCATACCATTAATGTACTATTTTAATTTTCAAAGACTGAGCCATAAACATTCCCAGCAAGACCCTGAACTCTGGGTACTGTGAAATCTGTAATTCACTACTTTGTCCTTGAGAAACTATATTAAACCCTTTAATTGATACGGGTAGTTCCCTTATTTCCTTCATGAATAAAGGCAGTCAGGAAGCTTGTGTTAATAGAAAGATGAAAAAATAATACTACCTTAAACAAAGGTTCAATGGTGCTGAGTTCAGGCACTGTAAAGATGTATCCATGTTTTTATGGATAAAGGTACAGGAGACCCTCACCATTCATGGGGGATATGTTTTCATATCCCCCACGAATGGCAAAATCCATGAATAAGGCACTGCATTTATGTACGCTGTCTGCATTCATGAATGCAATGCCTCCGGTGGCTGGGGGGTGGGAGTGCCAGTAATGGTGGGAGTGCAGCGGCGGCAGCAGGAGCACGGCGGCAGTGGCAGGAATGAGGTGGCAGCGGTGGGAGCCCACCAGCAGCAAGTGTGGAGCTCCTGAGGAGCAACTTTAAGTGTATTTAAAATGCAGGTTTGGCATTCATGAATATTTGAAAGCATGAATGCCGAACCCACGAATAGAGATGGTTTCCTGTACTGACTTTCTACTTTACATAGGATGCCCTGATAAATCTTTTAAATTCCAGATGGAAGCCTATACATGAGCCATTTCACTCCACCTCTCACTGCTCCTAAAACAGTCTTATGGTCTTAAAAAATCCTCTGAGTCTGACTCAAACCTTTAGTTTGGATCAGTATACTTAATGAAACATTTTATAATTTATGCCCTTGAATGAATGCTTACTCTGAGGGAAGAATTCATCATGAATATTTTATTCAAAATTCTGCCTTTCTGTTGTGGATGGTCTGCAAACAGCTTATGATTTTATCAGATCTACTTCCATTATTTGAAATTATTCAGCAAACAGTTCTTGACCTGTACAATGTTCTTGACCTCTAAAATATTCATTAGCGGTTCATTTTGAGTGCTAAATATTCAGATTGTTTTGACTCAGATCAGATGATAGCTTTTTCACACAAATATGTTTGCAAATGCAGAATTCATCTGTGCCTTTCCAACAATGTTCATTTCTGCACAGGGCGTGCCTACACATGCATTTACTCTGGCTTAAATTTACTATGAAGTAAATTATTGAGCAGTAAGTGGGAATAGGCTAGTGTCTATACATGCAGGCAACCCAGGACTAAATTTAGTCCCAGGTCAGAGTAGCCTGCCATGTGCCCCTGTGGACACCGGGGGGGGGGGGGGGGG